ATAAAAGTGACTATAAAAACAGACTTTTTTTAAAGGCTGGCCTCGTGGAGGCCTTAAAGCTGAACTCAAGGCACAAAAACTTTCATTTAAATATATTTCGATATCAATAAAGGATATAAATCAATGGTGTGTGTATCAAATGCCTTCAAAACTCTGATATGACCTTGTAAAAGTAGCAGTGACATCATCACTTTGCTGAACATAGCCTGTGCAGAGAACAGAACTATGGGAGGGACCCAGCAAGCCCCACCCACTACAGGCTGCCTGCAGAAGACTACAGAAGGGGCGGGGACAAGACCAGTCACCCTGCACCAGAAGAGAGTGCAGTAGACAGCGGTCTTTATTACAGGAAGCTGCTGCACAAAGCCAAATTATCCAACTGGATTACTGCACAGATCTGGAACAAATACACAAAGCACACCAAGAAACAATACACAGGACCAGGGGCGGACTGACCATTTGGAAACTAGGGCACTGCCTGCGGGCCCGGGGTCAGTAGGGGACCCCATGAGATGCCCCTGGTACCTTTTTCATAGGCTTTTTTGAGTTTGGGCAAGGACACAGGGGCCCCATGACCCCCTATTGCCCGGGGGGGGGGCCCCATGAGTTGTCAGTCCGCCCCTGCACAGGACTCTTAGATTTACTAAAACTGGAGAGTGTAAAATCTGGTGTAGCTGTGCATAGTAGCTAATCAGCTTCTAATTTCAGCTTGTGCAATTAAAGGCTGAACTACAATGTATCTGAGCACCACAAACCAAAAATGCTATTTAATTCATTTTGATTATTCAAAGCAATCTCTCCTATCCATCCATATCTGCATGCTTTATTTTAATGAGAAATCATTTTGAAAAGGAGCCCCTGGAATTTCTTGCAGTGGCCATCTTGAGTAAGGGCAGATGATTCAGGTAGCATTTACTTCTTGGAATCCATCTGCCCTTAGATCAGGCTCAGCTCCCTCCCGTCCTGAAGACTCCTGGGATGTATGACATCATTTGCCGAAACCAAGTAACTGAAGAAATGTAAAAAAAAAAAAAAAGTTTAAAATAAGTAAACATGATATACTTTCCTATCCATTTACTAATGCTAGCAATATAAGGATTAAAAACAGTCCACATTGATTGAGAGAGTGAAGTTCCACTGGAGCTGGAAAACTGGAAGCTGATTGGTTTCTATGCAGAGCTGCACCAGATTTTGCACACTCCAGTTCTAGTAAATCAACCCCCAATATTTGCTTATCCCAGAGTTCAATTTAAAGAACTCCAGTTTAATTAAAATACATTTTTTATGGAAAAAAGTTTTCTTTTTTTAAGCGTTCTTTTCTTTATTTTCACCTAGTGATCCAGCCAGTGAGTATGTTGTTTTTCAAAAGAATAAGCTGTGCTGCAGATGTATCAGTTAGATGATTGAGACAAACCATTTGCTACTGACAGGGCTGCTTACAGTGATAAGTTTTATTAATTTATGTATGACCTTTATCTCAAAAGGAAAAAAAAAATTGTTGCTGTATAGCAGGCATCACTAAATGGCGGACTGCGGTCCGAATACAGACCGAGTGACAGTCCTGTCCAGATCACGGCCACACCACTTAGCAGCCTTAATGGACTCCTCTCATCTCCTCCCGCCGCTGCAGCTCTTAATAATTGGGAGGAATGGCGGGGTGGACTCCTGTATATACTCTTCTGCCGTGGCCGTCGTCGCTGCTGCTGTTGAATTTCAGCAGGGAAGAGGGCAGGAAGAATGGAAGGAAGGACTCCTTATCTGAATGTACTGGCTTGCCGCCGCTGAACTCAGAGCAGGGAGGAGGGCAGGAAGCACTGCAGGTCTACAGGGGAGCGGGGAAGGGGAGCCAACCTGCCATGCGGGTCACTTGCTTTTTACCAGGAAGAGTTGGGCAGCTCCCGCCCTCAGTGGAAACCTTCTATGCTTCCCGCCCTCCTCCCTGCTCTGAGTTCAGCGGCAGCAAGCCGGTACATTCAGAAGAGGAATCCGTCCTTCCATTCCTCCCGCCCTGCTCTGAGTTCAGCGGCGGCAAGCCGGTACATTCAGAAGAGAGAGGAATCTGTCCTTCTATTCCTCCTGCCCTCCTCCCTGCTCTGAGTTCAGCGGCAGCAAGCCAGTACATTCAGAAGAGGAGTCCTTCCTTCCATTCCTCCTGCCCTCCTCCCTGCTCTGAGTTCAGCGGCAGCAAGCCGGTACATTCAGAAGAGGAGTCCTTCCATTCCTTCCGCCCTCCACCCTGCTCTGAGTTCAGCTGCTGCAAGCCGGTACATTCAGAAGAGGAGTCCTTCCGTCCATTCCTCCTGCCCTCTTCCCTGCTCTGAGTTCAGTGGCAGCAAGCTGGTACATTCAGAAGAGGAGTCTGTCCTTCCAATCCTCCCGCCCTCCACCCTGCTCTGAGTTCAGCGGCGGCAAACAGGTACATTCAGAAGAGGAATCCTTCCTTCCAATACTCCTGCCTCTTCCCTGTTGTGATTTCAACAGCAGCGGCGACGATGGCGGTGGCAGAGGAGTACATATAAAACAGTAGTCCACCTGGCCATTCCTCTTGCCCTCCACAATGTGCTAAGGTATGGGAAAGATTATGCGGTAGAGGGGGCTGTGATATCAGAGGGGGAATCTGTGATATGGGGGGGCTGTGATGTGGGGGGGCTGTGAAATGGGGAGGCGGTGAGAGGGGGAAGCTGTGATATGGGGGTGCTGTTAGAGGGGGGAGCTGTGATATGGGAGGCTGCGAAGTGAGGGGGGAGCTGTGATGTGGGGGGCTGTGAAGTGAGAGGGGGGGAGCTGTGATATGGGGGACTGAGAAGTGAGAGGGGGAAGCTGTAATATGGGGGACTGAGAAGTGAGAGGGGGGAGCTGTGAAATGACGGGGCTGCAAAAGAGGGGAGCTGTGATATGATGGGCTGTGACATGAGGGGGAGGGGCTGTGAAATGGGGGGTGTCACAATATAGGTGCTATGCCAGTCCCAGTTATTAATTCCTTTATTAATCCATTGTGCCCAGAGGAAGTACATCCTCAATTAGTGTTCTACTCCTGTGTGCCAAATGCTCCGAGCTGTAATTAAAGCACACTCTCCATCCTGCCAAAAGGTCCACAAATTCAATTAATGTATTCTCCCCACTGTCATTCTGTTGTACAGCTACAAATTCAATTACTGTATTTCCTTTCCTTTCCATCCTGTTCATCCTGTCTTGTGCCCAAATGTAGTACATCCCTAATTAATGCCTTACTTTTTGTGCCAGAGGAAGTGCTTCCCATCTGCAATGCAATTAGTGCCTTTCCTGCCAAATGTCCCCAAACTCAATCAAGGCATCCCCTATATTGTCATCCAAATGTCCCCAAACTCAATCAAGGCATTCCCTCCATTGTCATCCTGCTAATGACCCCCCTCCACCTCTCGTCCTGTCCCGGGGTTTAAGAGGTCGGTGCTGGGCTCTTCCTGGGCATTCACTCTGCTGTGCAGCCACTGAAGGATCCCAGCTGTGACGGGACTCTAGTGGCCAGACTCTGCCTAAGCCCCATTGGAGTAAGGGGGACCCCAGAAGCTACATCAGCCCTGCCTGAGACGCTGCCAGCTCTGCCTGAGACTACCACATCAGCTTTGCCTGAGACTACCACATCAGCCCTGCCTGAGACGCTGGCAGCTCTGCCTGAGACTACCACATCAGCTCTGCCTGAGACTACCACATCAGCTCTGCCTGAGACTACCACATTCAGCTCTGCCTGAGACTACCACTTCAGCTCTGCGGGAGTGTATGCTTCCCCTGTGTTATCTGAACTGTTTAGGAACTGCCTCCTACCTCCATGTTGGATTACAAACTGCTGTAGAGACTTTACCTTTGCCCACCGGGACTGGATTACAAGTATTTTGGGCTCTCTCTCTCTGCACTACTCCCCATTGAGTGACTGTTGTCTGTTTTAATAAAGCTTTAAGTGTTTGCCATCTGCCTTGTGTGTTCTGTCCTGCCTACCCTCCATCACAGTGGGGCTATGACAGGAGGGAGTTGTAATTTGAGAGGGGGGAGCTATAATACTGGGGGGCTCTGATGTGAGGAGAGATGTGATATGGGGGAACTGTGATATGGGGGGCCACGATGTGAGAAGAGGTAGTCGTGATATGAAGGGTCTGTGATGTCAGGAGATGGGGAGCTGTGATGTAGGGGATTGTGATTGCAAGGGGGACTGTGATGTCAAGGAACGTTTGCGATGTGAAGGGGGGCTGTGATGGAAGCGGGGCTATAATGTTGGGGGGGCTCTGATGTGAAAAGGAGTTGTGATGTACGGTTGGCTGTGATGGGAATGGGGGGACTGAGGATATTAATGCAAAGGGGGCTGTAATGTGAAAAACCTGAGTAATAGAAGAAAAATGAGTTTCAGACCTCTGCAGAAAGAAAATGTTACCAACCGGACCTCCGTGAATTTTAATTCAGAACCCCTGCTGTATAGTGTACGGACCACTGCACCGACAGCTCAGGGCATCATGGCCGTTATGTGCGGCATGGTCTGGAGGGGTGGGTAGGATATTTGGACATAGTTCACCTCTTCAGTTTCATCTTCCCTTTCAGGAGAGGCAGCACAGCCTGATCGGCTCCTAGTGTTTTCTCTCCCTCTTGAAGTTTGAGTACTGCTGTGCAGGGGATAGCAGGTGGTGGATATCAAGACAGAATAAGGTAGTCATGCTAGTTGTATGTAAAAATACATTTAATATTTTTTAGAGAATATATATTTGGAATAAGTGATATTTTTACACCTGCCTGGGGGTCACCTTTAACAATCTGATTTGCAACAAAGACACATTCCATTCACCAAAATTGGTGCAGGAGCCCCAATATGTATAACGTTTGTAGCATTAGCGGTTGTCAATGACGCTAGCATATTAATGTGTTATGTTATACATTTCATGCAGAGGACAAATAAGCTGTTTCAACTCCATGTAAGACCCCTGGGAGATTCCAAACCATGAGAAAACGTCATTTCTATACCGTAAGAAATACATACATTAAGAGTCAGAAAAAGAATCATGGGGTGAGGTATCTCTGGGCATTTTCTTTTCAGAAATAGAAGGTTCATGTCTTTCTACTTTTCTTCTCTTCAACATTCTAGAAGGGTGACCACCCTGTGAAATTGGTTGGTTTCTGCCTTCCATCAGGTCTTTCGCACTGCATAGGGGTCCATGGATTTTAACTGTGTTTCCAAATTTAGAGTAGTCAACAGAATACCTGCCCTCTTCTTCTGTAACAATGGGCACAAAACGACGACCCCAAAGAATTTCTTCAGGCAAGTAAGACGTTCTGGCCTGAGTTGTTATACCTGTTGTTTCTACTACTCCTTCCAGTAAGGCGACCACTTCTAAATCCTGCTGGCAAATGTCGTAAGCTGAGAAGTTGTATAGGGGACTCTTTTCATCAATTGTGTGGCTTATTATAAGCGGTGATACTAAGAAAATAGAATTTGTTCCAACAGGGTTTTCTACTTGAATGTCTACCTGAGAGATTGGGATGACTTCACCTTCAGTGGTTGTGGTCTTCTTGACCACCTGGATCTTGATTGAAGCACTAATGATCATACTCTTGCGTAGGTCACCTATTCTGAACATGAAGCGGTACTTGCCATCCCGGCAGGCTATGACAGCGTGTTTACTAAATATTAAAGTCTCAGCCCTACGGTTAGCCTGGGCCGTCTTCATAAAAATACATCCCAACATGACCGCATTGATGATTAAGCCAGATATATTCTGGATGATGAGAATTGTTATAGCCAAGGGACATTGTTCTGTAACCATACGACCTCCAAAGCCAATGGTCACCTGAACCTCAATTGAGAAAAGAAAGGCTGAAGTAAAGGACTGAATGTTAGTGACGCAAGGTGTGGAATTGCTGCGCTTGGGATCAAGATCTCCATGGGCAAAGGCAATAAGCCACCAGCCCATAGCAAACAGCATCCAGCTGCATATAAATGTCATTGTGAAGATCAGCAGGCTATGCTGCCACCTGAGATCTACCATAGTGGTGAAGACATCCTGAAGGAAACGTCCCTGTTCTCGGATATTTTTATGAGCCACGTTGCAGGCACCATTCTTAGCCACAAAACGGGCTTTTCCTGGTCTTGCTTCTGTATTGAGGGTGGGCATCCTCATTTTCTGCAAGCCTGGTTATCAAGTATTCTTCATGGATCAAGCCTTTCCGGGCAAGCATGTTTAAAAAGTGAAATAGGTTTGGATTGTCTTTTTAGAAATGGCACTTTATCTGTGGAAAGGGAAATTACTGGATTACAAACTGCACAAAAGTACTCACAGAAAAAAATACACAGAGATGATATTGGGAATAGGCATTCTTTGATACTGGGAATAAATAAACTCTAGTATAAATAAGAATAGAGGAGGTAATTCAAGTGTTCTATACCCCTGTGTCCTCACCCAAACTCAAAAAAGCCTATGAAAAAGGTACCAGGGGGCATCTCATGGGGCCCCCTACTGACCCCCGGGCCCTCGGGCAGTGCCCGAGTTTACAAATGGTCAGTCCGCCCCTGGTAACAAGTAACAACGGGGTGGGACCTGGGAGATGTACTAGCAGTCACCAGCTAATACACAGACATGCAGTATGCTGGATTAAAGCAAATGGACTATAAAATGACATTTCATTCAAGTGTATGCATCGCAACACAACGTGCGTCCTGAGCATAGAGTTAAATGAAATATCATTTTTGGCGTTTCAATAAAGTTTAAAAAAAGAAAAAAAAAATGAAAAATTGTAATGCATTGTAATAATGCATCACACCACCCTACACACTGTACACCAGCGGTGAGCATTACACACACACACAGCATATCAGACACCGACTGGTTTGAATGGATCCTGAAAAAAATCCAGAAAATAACATGGTCATAAGCTGCTGAAATTCCAAAAAGATATAGGCAGCCAGCTTGTGACTCAACACATCAGATGCCACCTTTAATTTAAATACAGTGCCTTGAAAAAAAGTCTTCATATTCCTTGCAATGCTTCACATTTTGTCATGTTACAGCCAAAATGTAAATATGATAAATTTCAAGGGGGTATGAATACTTTTTTAAGACACTGTACATTAGAGTATATAGCTAGGTAATTATTTGGTGAAATATCCATTTAATAAACTATGCAAGGCACGAACCAACAATCGTACAATGAAAATAGTTTCAGGTTCTCATGTGCACAGTGCCGAATCAGTGTCTACGATCACATTTTGACAGGACCCATGAGCACTTGTCTGTCATCTGTAGTGAAATATACAGAGCTCAGATCAGGTTTGCATTACATCATGTAAGCTTGCATTCAGCACCAGAGACTGAGTTAGGCATTATTTGGGGGGTTTCACATCATTGTACACCCCCAAAGAGGTGCTGGAGTTTTTTATCTATTCAGCATCCCCATTGGGAAGCTGGAGTACTCTATGTATTCTGCACCCCCATAGAAAAATCTGGGAACTCTTATCTAATGTGCATCCCCATAGAGGAGTTGGGGGTTCCTTTGTCTTTTGTGCATTTCCATAGAGGAGTCAGGGTCCCTTATCTCATAGAGGAGCTCTGTGCCTTATTTATTGTGCATCCCCATATAGAAGAGTTGGGGTCCCTTATCTATTGAAAAAGCCCTATAGAGGAGCTGGAGTGCCTTATCTATTGTACATCCCCAGGGAGGAGCTAAGATGTCTTTATCTACTTTGCATCCCCATAAAGCAGGGTCCCTTATCTATTAAGCATTCCCATTAGAAGTGCTGGGGTCCCTTATCTATTACGCGTTGTCTCATAGAAGAGCTGGGGTCCCTTATCTATTACGCGTTCTCATAGAAGAGCTGGGGTCCCTTATCTATTACGCATCCCCATAGAAGAGCTGGGGTCCCTTATCTATTAAGTGTTCTCATAGAAGAGCTGGGGTCCCTTATCTATGACGTGTCCCCATAGAAGAGCTGGGGTCCCTTATCTATTAAGTGTTCTCATAGAGAAGAGCTGGGGTCCCTTATCTATTAAGCGTCCCCATAGAAGACCCAGGGTCCCTATCTATGACGTGTCCCCATAGAAGAGCTGGGGTCCCTTATCTATTTCCATCGTTCCTATAGAAGAGCTGGGGTCCCTTATCTATTAAGTGTTCTCATAGAAGAGCTGGGGTCTCTCGTCTATTAAGCGTCTCCATAGAAGACCCGGGGTCCCTTATCTATTACGTGTCCCCATAGAAGAGCCGGGGTCCCTTATCTATTACGCGTTCCCATAGAAGAGCTGGGGTCCTTTATCTGTTAAGCATTCTCATAGAAGAGCTGGGGTCCCTTATCTAATAAGCGTCCCCATAGAAGAGCTGGGGTCCTTTATCCATTAAGTGTTCAAATAGAAGAGCTGGGGTCCCTCATCTATTAAGCATCCCCATAAAAGACCCGGGGTCCTTTATCTATTACATGTTTCCCATAGAAGAGCCGGGGTCCATTATCTATGAAATGTCCCCATAGAAGAGCTGGGGTCCCTTATCTATGAAACGTCCCCATAGAAGAGCTGGAGTCCCTTATCTATTAAGCGTCCCCATAGAAGAGCTGGGGGTCCCTTATCTATTAGGGGTCCCCATAGAACAGCTGGGGTCCCTTATCTATTAAGCGTCCCCATAGAAGACCCGGGGTCCTTTATCTATTACATGTCCCCATAGAAGAGCCAGGGTCCCTTATCTATTACATGTCCCCATAGAAGAGCCGGGGGTCCATTATCTATGAAATGTCCCCATAGAAGAGCTGGGGGTCCCTTATCTATGAAACGTCCCCATAGAAGAGCTGGAGTCCCTTATCTATTAAGCGTCCCCATAGAAGAGCTGGGGTCCCTTATCTATTAGGGGTCCCCATAGAACAGCTGGGGTCCCTTATCTATTAAGCGTCCCCATAGAAGACCCGGGGTCCTTTATCTATTACATGTCCCCATAGAAGAGCCGGGGTCCCTTATCTATGAAATGTCCCCATAGAAGAGCTGGGGTCCCTTATCTATGAAACGTCCCCATAGAAGAGCTGGGGTCCCTTATCTATTAAGCGTCCCCATAGAAGAGCTGGGGTCCCTTATCTATTAGGGGTCCCGAAAAAAGAGGCGGGGTCCCTTATCTATTAAGCGTCCCCATAGAAGAACCACGGTCCCTTATCTATTAAGCATCCCATAGAAGAGCTGGGGTCCCTTATCTATTAAGCATCCCATAGAAGAAGGCGGGGTCCCTTATCTATTAGCATCCCCATAGAAGAGCTGGGGTCCCTTATCTATTAAGCGTCCCCATAGAAGATCTGGGGTCCCTTATCTATTAAGCGTCCCATAGAAGAGCTGGGGTCCCTTATCTATTAAGCGTCCCCATAGAAGATCTGGGGTTCCTTATCTATTAAGCGTCCCCATAGACGATCTGGGCTCCCTTATCTATTAGCGTCCCCTTAGAAGATCTGGGGTCCCTTATCTATTAAGCGTCCCCATAGAAGATCTGGGGTCCCTTATCTATTAAGCGTCCCCATAGAAGATCTGGGGTCCCTTATCTATTAGCGTCCCCCCATAGAAGATCTGGGGTCCCTTATCTATTAAGCGTCCCCATAGAAGATCTGGGGTCCCTTATCTATTAGCGTCCCCATAGAAGATCTGGGGTCCCTTATCTATTAAGCGTCCCCTTAGAAGATCTGGGCTCCCTTATCTATTAAGCATCCCATAGAAGAGCTGGGGTCCCTTATCTATTAAGCGTCCCCATAGAAGAGCTGGGGTCCCTTATCTATTAGGGGTCCCCATAAGAAGAGACGGGGTCCCTTATCTATTAAGCGTCCCCATAGAAGATCTGGGGTCCCTTATCTATTAAGCGTCCCCATAGAAGATCTGGGGTCCCTTATCTATTAAGCGTCCCCATAGAAGATCTGGGGTCCCTTATCTATTAAGCGTCCCATAGAAGAGCTGGGGTCCCTTATCTATTAAGCGTCCCCATAGAAGATCTGGGGTCCCTTTATCTATTAGCCCCTTAGAAGATCTGGGGTCCCTTATCTATTAAGCGTCCCCATAGAAGATCTGGGCTCCCTTATCTATTAAGCATCCCATAGAAGAGCTGGGGTCCCTTATCTATTAAGCGTCCCCATAGAAGAGCTGGGGTCCCTTATCTATTAGGGGTCCCGAAAGAAGAGACGGGGTCCCTTATCTATTAAGCGTCCCCATAGAAGATCTGGGGTCCCTTATCTATTAAGCGTCCCCATAGAAGATCTGGGGTCCCTTATCTATTAAGTGTCCCCATAGAAGATCTGGGGTCCCTTATCTATTAAGCGTCCCATAGAAGATCTGGGGTCCCTTATCTATTAAGCGTCCCCATAGACGATCTGGGGTCCCTTATCTATTAGCGTCCCCATAGAAGATCTGGGGTCCCTTATCTATTAAGCGTCCCCATAGACGATCTGGGGTCCCTTATCTATTAGCGTCCCCATAGAAGATCTGGGGTCCCTTATCTATTAAGCGTCCCCATAGACGATCTGGGGTCCCTTATCTATTAGCGTCCCCATAGAAGATCTGGGGTCCCTTATCTATTAAGCGTCCCCATAGACGATCTGGGGTCCCTTATCTATTAGCGTCCCCTTAGAAGATCTGGGGTCCCTTATCTATTAAGCGTCCCCATAGAAGATCTGGGCTCCCTTATCTATTTAAGCATCCCATAGAATAGCTGGGGTCCCTATCTATTAAGCGTCCCCATAGAAGATCTGGGGTCCCTTATCTATTAAGCGTCCCCATAGAAGATCTGGGGTCCCTTATCTATTAGCATCCCCATAGAAGATCTGGGGTGCAGCAGCACTGGGCCTCTCCACCTCCTACAATCAATTATTAACTGGGATGCAGGACGGAAGTCGGGAACAATGCAGACGAGGGGCACCTGCTGGAGTAATCCAATGTATGATTGTGATTGCCTTACCTTGTCATCCAGGGAAATCTGCTGGCACTGGGGTTCTGCTGACTTTGGGATGAGATCTTCTCCCCCTCTATGCAGGGAGGATGGTACAGTCTTGTGTCCCCAGTGTGTGCTTGTATGGAGGATGCACAGGCTGCTGCTGCTGCTGGTTCAGTGTGGTTTCTGTGGTTGCACACTCCCATTGGCTGGATGCTGGGGGTTGTTATCATATGACAGT